CAGCATGGGCGCTGCCGTGCCCAGGACACGCACTGCGGCAAGGGCCAGCACCGCTGCGGGCACATTCTGAAGGGAGGCCGAGTTTGCGGGATGCGGCCCGCGACTGCGACAACCGCCACCGCTTGAAAATGGGCGGGTCGCCAGATGCGGCCGCGCCACAGCCTCCATCATTGCCTGAGTCCCCTCTGTTTGACCAATTTGTCCTTGAGCTTGATGACATTCATGTCCCAAAAGAGATGCCCCTGTCATGCTGGACCTTTTTGCTGGCGCCAACGCCCCCCTAGCCCAGGCGTTCTCCTGGTGCGGCTGGAGGCTCGTGACACTGATTGACACAGCCATCGACCGGGATTTGGATGTTTCCAAGCCGTCCGTACGGAAGGCCATTTTCAATCTCTTCCAGGGCTAGAGAAAAGAGACCCGGTCCTCTCCCGTTGCGTTCCGAGCTGTACCCTAGGGCCCTTCCTGACCTCCAGCCTAAGGATTAAGAACAACAATTTGTGAGCGGACTTCAGCCTGGCTATCCAAGCGGGCAAAGCTTGCATGAGGGAGAACCCGGAGCGGAGCCTTCACTGGTGGGACCCCATCGAGATCTACCTCACGAAGACGTCCACGTGGTACGATCTGGATTACCACGCATGCGTGTTCATGGGAGCTCGCAGCAAGGCCCAACGCATCAGGCACAATCTCAGCTCGCCAAGCTCCCGTCCCTTCGGTGTGGACACCTGCATGCCGCGGATGAGTGGCGCAAGGGCCCAGGGGACTACCCCACGGCATCGGAAGCAGAGTACACGCCGTCACTCGTGTGGTGTGTGCTACCGCATGGGTTAACCCCAGCAAGGACTGCGCATCAAGCCCATCCCGCGGTTGCCTCCTATACAGACCACGGGAGATATGAGGCCACTCATGCAGTTTGACCCCTCACAGCTTCGACAAGAGTTGTTGCCGGTGATGGGCATTCACCTCGGACTGCGGCCGTCTGCCGCCAGGCGGGCAGGAGTCCCGGAGCGCAAAGTCGCAGCCGAGGTTCTGCAAGAGCACAGGAGCCTACCAGCGCAACACATCTATGTGGGCCCAGGCCACTTCTCGCACAGATGGGTCACGGACTGGACAAACTGACTGCACCAGGTTCAAAGTGGTCATCAAGTACATCAGGTGGATTCAAGATCAACCTGGACTAATGAGGCGTCTCAACGAGCTGCGCTTCAAGACCCTGGTATGTGACTATCCTCGATCGGCTGGTTTGCTCCCTGGAGCAACTTCAAGTTCCCCATGCTGGAGGACCTCTTGCAGCACCCTATGTTCGTGGCCTTCCATGATTGGCGAAGGGCCACGGAGGAATGGGACGGGCTCCCGGCCGGTCCACGGATTGTGGGCAGCCAAGAGAGGCCCTACTTCCGACTGGGCGCAGAAAACCAGACAGGCTCCGCCAGCTCAGCAAAGGCAACCCCGCCGCTGATCCTATTCGGATTGGGGCCGGATGGCCACTTCCCCATGGCCCTCAAGATGACCATGATGCCCAACAAAGCGAGGTGACGCCCCGCAGTAGCCTTGGCTACTTCCCACGGCTGCAAAGTGTCACTGGTTGCAGCCGCCTGGACAACTTGGAGAGTACCTTCACGGCCTCCAGCCTGAAGGCTTTCAGGTGTCCCCTTTGGTTGGCTGACGTGTGAGCGTAGATCAGATCGTAGTCCATGATGGAGTCGTCTCGAAGGCGACCTCGTCTACGGCTTCCCATGTATCGGCTACAGCCCACAGCTTCCATATGGCTAACGGCCACGGAGGATTCCCAACGCATCTACAACGTCCTTCCCAATTTGATCACTACGTCCTTCCCAATTTGATGAGGACATCACGGCGGCCGGCTACAAGGACGAGGAGCTGGGGTTTTGCGACCAGGCCATGACATGGGAGGAGCTCCTAGCATTGGGGCAGCCATTCAGGCTGATCCGACGATTCTCCGTTGAGCGCGGGTCATCGATGACGACGGGGGGCAGTCTGCCCTGAGCTGCGATGCCAACAAACTGGACCTGTGTACGGCAATCCAACCAGGCCTACACGTTCGTATGCTCTGGCAACACATCCAGGCAGGGGAAGATCTACCCCACGCATACCGGCAAGTTCCCATACGGCCAGAAGTCTCCTGGTCCTGCGTTGTGGCTTACTGGGATGCAGGCAGTAACTCACCCGTCTTCCGTAGGTACTTCTCCCAGCTGTTCGGCCTACCCATAGCAGTGACGTCCTTCAACAGGTTCCCGCGCCTGCTCCAAGCGGCCTACAGGCGTTGGGGAGCATGCGTGGCAGCTCTCTACTTCGACGACCTGACGATCCAACAAAGGCTCCAGCCAGCTCTTGTGTGGGAGGCTAGCGGCCTTGCTGGGTTCCCCCTTCTCCCACGACAAGCAACAGCGCATGAAGTCTGAGGGAGAGTTCCTGGGCTTGTGGCATGATGTGGGCTCCGCCGTCCACACTCACTTCTGGGTCAAGGAGAAGTTGCTCGCCAAGGTCAACAGCTACATCCAGGGCAGTCGGTACGGGGGTGTTATGACACCTGGCACAGCGCCCAAGCTGTACGGATGCCTCAGCCACAGTTGTTGGGGAAAAACTGGCCAGTCGGGCCTGCTGGCCATCCAAGAGCGTCAACATTCTGTGCGAGGCATCGTGAACATCACGCCGGACCTCGATCAGGCACTAGAGTTCGTCTCCAACTTCTTGCAGCTACGCTCTCAGCGCCTGCTATGTTTGCAGCCGAGCACATTCTCCCGATTCCTGGTGGCTTCTGAAGCTGCGCAGGACGTTCCCAAGGAAGGTTCTGCGGGGGCCCGTGTTGCCGGACTTCACGCGTGTCGCATTGGTCCTAGAGGTCAACCGAGGTGAAAATTTCCCAGCTCGAGCTGTGCATTGTTTTGATGTCTCTGGCGGAGTTCGCATCGCAGATCCGAGGGCGTCACTGTGGTTCGTGAACAACATCGCAGCCCTCATGTCGCTCGTCAAGGGAAGGAGCGCCGTGCGGGAGAGCGACACTATGTCTGGAGCCGTACAGTCGGTCCTGGCGGGCCTCTCTTGCAACGTCTACTGGGAATGGGTTGCCAGCTCGGACAACTGGTCGGATGGCGTCTCTCGGAGTGGCTTTCGCGATTTGTGGTTCCCTCAACATGGATTCCGACCAACCAGCATGAAGCCGCTTATGCTTCTTTTCAAACTGCACACTGCCATTTTGGTCCGTGTGGTTTCATACCTCTGAGTGCATTGGATGGAGTGCATTGGGAAACTTTTGAACACGGGTACTGAATGTACCCCAGTGGCGTGCCTTGCAGTGCGGAGTTGCTGCATGTGGGGCACATCGCCACTCCTCCCCATGAAGATCGCTGACTGCGATGCGAATCCAATGCACTGGGGTTAAACCACTGGAGTGGATATGAAGCATGTTTGAATGAGAAAAGGAGTGCGAGCTTCTGCGCAGTAGCCATAGATACAAGATAATGAAAACATTATGCGCTTTAAGGTTGGCAGGTACGGTGAAGTGACATTGTTTTCACTTGCCCTTGATCATGAAATTTGGGCTCAAGGATCCCAAATGGCTCGTTTGAGTCAAGTGCTGTAAGCACTCCCTCCCGTCCCTGATTTCAGTCCTGTCAGGCTGATTCGCAGGCCAGCCTGCTTAGACTGGTTGGTGCCTGGCCATGCTCATGTACAGACACCACTTCAGCTTACAGTCCTTTGTGGGGTTCTCAATGAGCTGGATTAACCTGCGCGCCGGCCAGGGGAAGGTGTGAGTATAGGCTTCAGGTCGAGTTCCGTGGGAAGCCCTTGCAGGGAAAGGGGAAACTTTTGAACACGGGCATGCCTTGCAGTACGGAGTACGGAGTTGCTGCATGTGGGGCACATCGCCACTCCTCCCCATGAAGATCGCTGACTGCGATGCGAATCCAATGCACTGGGGTTAAACCACTGGAGTGGATATGAAGCATGTTTGAGTGAGAAGAAAAGGAGTGCGAGCTTCTGTGCCGTAGCCATAGATGCAAGACAACGAAAACAATTTTACATTTTTGCTTATTGTGGTTTTGTGGGAACCCACTTGACTGCTAAAATTTAAATTTTTGCTCCCCTTCAACATCAGCCAAGGAGTCGGACACAGGCAGGCACACAGAGACAGACACGGACACGGGCATAGAAGACATACACAGACATGGACACCGACACAGACAGACACAGAAACAGACATAGACACACACATAGACAATGGCAGAGACACAGGCATAGACACAGACAGAGGCACATACACACAGAGACAGACACACACAGACACGGAGACAGTCACAGGCACACAGACATAGACGCAGGCACAGACACACACCCACAGACAGACGCAGACAGACACAGACAGACACAGACAGACACAGAACTGGACTTCGCCAGCGAATTTGGTTCCAAGTGTTTGTGGGTGAAGGAAAGGCCTAGGGGTTCGACTTTTCATTCAGTTGTACCTTGACAGGTGGCTGGGGGGGGGGGGTTGACAGCCCTGACGACTGCAGGCTCACAGATTAGGGGAGCATGATTCCCCTATGAATTGGGGCACGGCCCTAGGGGTAGGCCCCAACAGAAATGCCTTGACCAACGTTAGGATGTTCTGTCTTGAGCTTCCTTGCAAGAAAGCGTTCATTGCGAGAACTCCAAGATGTGGCTGAATATCTCCCCCCCAAGTTCCCGCACTTTATGTGTTTGGGGAAGAATGCAGTGGCGGCAAGCATGTTTTGGCCCACCCGCGGAAGAAGTGCGCTGTGCAAACCTTTTGTGTTTTGCTGAGCGCCAGCGCCAGAGTCTTTGTGGCATCTAGGCAAAGGCGTAAGAGAAGTAGAAGGTTCACGGGTTAGTAAGGTTAGGCTGGCCAAAAGGTCGAGGTTTTCCTCCTTGCGGATCTTATCATCCACTTGGAAGGCCTCAGCCTGAGGCAGCCGAAAAGTTGAAGCCCCGTTCGCGGGGGAAACCTGTCTCCGCTTCAGGTTCTCCTCCCAGCTGCAAGGCCTCAGCAAGGAGCCGGGCGGGACGCGGGCGCCCCTCTTGCGTTTTTCCCCTAGATTGCGTGGGGTTCTTTTGCTAATGTTGAAACATGTGGAAACATGGCTTGTGTGAGGAATGCTTGACCAAAATGGCATGTGCCATTTTGGCTCAAGCTCGGACCGTCTGGTCTAAGACTGGAGAAAAACTATCGCCTTCGCTCCCGCTTCGCAATGGCGTCCTCTACCTCAGCAAGCTTGTGGAGGATCAGCGCCTCTCGGAGGAGCAGATCAGCTTGCGGAGTTGGAACTCGACAGCAGCTGTGCGGCAGAAACGCGGCGGTTTGAGCGGGTTTGTGCTTGGAGGCATTGGAGGCTCCCCAAGTCCCTTCCCAAGGCCATCTCTGGAGGTCTGCTTGGCTCGCCTCAAGGTTACCTTTGAGACGGAGCCGAGCCCGGCTCCCGCCCACGCATGGTGCCTCCGGCCCTGGTGGGCCGGCCAGTGGATTCGCAGGAGGATGTGTCGATGCCGGAGGTGGAGCGCTCGAAGTCCTCCGGGATTGGATTCGCCGGCCCAGATGGTTGCCCTCGACACACACAAGGACAGAGTGGGCTACCATCGACCGTCGCATTTCAGCCATTCCTTCCACCGCCTTCTTCGGGACATCACCATGGAGGAGATGGGGGCCCTCTTCTTCGAGCTTTGCATGGTGACCCGGATCTTGGAGGCCTATACTCCGATGGAAGTCTCAATATCAGCGGAACAAGCGCGGCTTGGGTGGCCAAGCGCTTTTCACACGGCTAGAGGGAACGGTGGATTGCGACATAGCGAGCCCCCGTCCAAGCGGGGTGTGGACGCCACGGCCTTGGGCAGACGGACGGAGGCTGCGGTGCAAAATCCGATCAGCGGCTGGCAGGTCTCTCTGAGGCTCCCCCCTTGCTTTCGGGTTGTGGGTTCTTTTGCAGGCTCCCCTGTTTCCCGGTTTTCTGGGACCCCCGTTTTCTTTTGGGGACTGGCCACTGATGTTTTTGTTTATTTATTTATTTATTTTTGGCGGGGGGGGGCTAAGGTGGCTTCGGGTGTCTCCCCCTTTGGATGGGCCTTCCCCTATTTGCGCTTGTTTGGCAAACTATCTGCGGAGCTGACTCGTGCTCGAGGGCTAGGGCTTCAGCCAGTTTCCTACTCCGTTCTCCGTATACCCAGGCGTGGGAATTGCCACCTAAGGTACTCTGGGACAGTCTGGCGGATGAGAGTTTTCCCCCCGGCACGGACGGCGAGCTTGTAGTTCAGTGCCACAAGCTGGCAACGGCAGCCGAGTTGGAGCAGGCTGGGAAGGAGCCGGCCATTTAGTTCTACGGCCTCGCGGAGCAGGCAGGCCAGTACGTCATCCATGGAGTCCTTCCAGCGGCGGCCATGGGGAGGCTTCCCCAGCCGGTCTTACTTGGATGATATCTGGTGCGCCACCTGGTCCCTCCTGCTTGGCAGTCCAGGAGGGCACCCCAAACGACACCTGCTTGGAGTACGAGATGATGTTGGACCAGAAATACATGCTACTCTGACACGATCGGGACGACCCCCCTGCACTGCTCCAGCCGGAGTTCCTGAATTGATGACCAGGCAAGGTCATGTGGAGCCCACTACGCAGCGGGCCCTGGAGATTACCTGCGCAGCAATGGGCAGTCCCTACCCAGAGCACATCCCTCGGTTCCGCGCGCTTCGGCAACACTGCCTGCTCTATGACAGACCAAGACAGTGTCCGCGGCAAGGATGAATCGGACTCCTGTCCGTCTAATCGCCGCCAAGTACTCTTTCACTGGGGCCCCATCCCACGCCTGGCAGCGGAGACACAATCTCGCCCTCCGACTGGGTCATCAATTTCCGAGCCTGAATCCGAGAAGAGAGAGTGCGCCCCGAATTTTCCAGGCTGCAATCCAGGATGGAGAGGTCCGGCTTCGTGCTGCCTAGCCTCCATCCAGCCACAGCCCACCGCGATGCCCTTGTCGTTGACCCAAAGATATCCGTTTTTTTTGCAGCGCGCGACTTCCCTGCCAGCTCCATGGTCCTTGTCAACCAGGTCCCAAGCTCTCCTCTTTGGGTCATCCCAATCCAGATACTGCACGCCCGACCAGGCCACAAGTTCAATTGGCCTTGCGGGGCCTCCTTGAGCCATCACAGGCCTTGCTCGGGTGTGCTCGGCCGGGGGCATGAGCCCCGAGAAGCCCTTGCTCACCGTGGGCAGGAGATAGTCCACATCCTCGAACTTCTACGCTCCCCGTGTCCCACTGACGTTGCACGTGCCTGTTCGAGAACTTCCTGCTGGATGCTCTCCCACCTCGACCGCCCAGCATCCTGCAGAAATGGCGGGTGCCTGGCTGTCCTTCAGACATGGCGCAAATCAGCCTGGCACACCCGCTCTAGGGAAGCTTGTCTGGATGGGATGTCACACCCACCCCAGACAAGTGTTCTACCCTGACGGGGGGGGAAGCCCAATGCTTGGACACGAAAAGGTTGTGTCCGCTTTGTGTTTAGTTTTTTTGTTAGCTTGCTTACACTTTGCTAATGTTGAAACATGTGGAAACATGGCTTGTGTGAGCGGACCATCTGGTCTAAGATTTGAGAAACCCGCCTTCTCCGACCTGGTGTTCCACATCCATCTGGACCCGGCATCACCGGCCCCCCACCGCCACGCCACCCAGCGGATCTGCTTTGCCACAAGGACCGGTGGAGCTTCTCAATGTCCCGTCCGGGATGGCGTCCGGCGGCCTTGGAGGCTGCCATTGATATCAGGAGTGGGTGGCTGGGATGGGGAGGATGAGGAGGAGACCCGCTCCTCACCTGCCAGGTTGGAGAGAATCCACATGGTCTTCAGGACTATCTCTTCTGATGTGCGCAGCCCCTCGGTTTGCGAACTTACGCTGAGAGGCAGGCTTGGAGCAAGATCCATGAGATGGTCCACCAACGAGCACAAGGAGGCCCCGTGGTGGGATGGTCCTGGGTTCAAAAGAACCTTACACGACTGGACGTTCGAGTGGTGGGTGAACAAGGTCGGCACTGGGGAAGGTTGGCTGCACTGATCCTCAGGATCCTGTACGGCCGCGGCGTTTCGTCTTGCTCCTAGTCCATCCACCTGGCCACGGCGATCTTGGCCCACTGAGTTGGAAGAAGACCCACCTGGCTGGCGGTGGTCAACACCTAATTAACCTTTGTGGTGCATCCAAACATCCTGCAGGTGCTGATGGCTGCACCTGCTGGTAGTGGAAGGCCATTCAAGGAAATTGAGAAGGCCCTGGACCATATCCAGTGGCCACGTCGGCCTGCCCAATAGCTCCCTGCTCCAACCTTTTGTGGGCATCGGAGCGTGTTTTGAGATTGGTTCGGATGTTGGCCTTCTTGCTCCGCCCCCTTCACCCAGTACTTGCCCTACCTTCCTAAGACCCCATAGGGGTTGCAGCGATGCTCCTCGGACTCTTCTTTGTTGGACGAAGTCCACTGGTTCCACATCCCAGGACGAGTACCCCTGAACATTGCCGCTTTGGAGATGTTGGGCACCCTTTTCCTCTGCAAGATGCTCCTCATCTGCCAGGGCCTCTCTTTTCTCGGGTGCGGATCACTGCGACAACCAAAAGAACGTCATGGCCACCTCCAAGAAGCCCTTCACTGCGGCCGTGCTCATGGCATGGCTGCTCTGGCGGCCAACCATGTCCCCCGTGAGTTCAACGGGTGGGCCGACGAGTTGACCCACCCGGACTTTGTCGGTTACAGCGAGGAGCTTCAGGTACTTCAGGTAGCTAAGCCTGACCTCTGCTCCAATTTGCTCTTCCTTCCCCGCATCCTGAACAGGGAGAGTTTTGATCTTAGCCTCTGATTGTCGCCCACGTGGGCGGCCTCCTTCCGTTTCCTTTGCTCCCCTAGTAGTGTGCCGGCGGGCGCAAATCAGCCTGGCACACCCACTCTAGGGAAGCTTATCTGGATGGGATGTCACACCCACTCCAGACCGGCTTTCTAGCCTGACAGGGGGGGGGGGAAGGAAGCCCCCGGCACCCATGCAATTCTTGGACACGTACAGGTTGTGTCCGCTTTGTGTTTATATAGGCCTTTGTGGTTAGCTTGCTTACACAACTTGTAATAAGCTGGAAAGTGATTTGCGCGATTCACGGCTGGGTGCTAGAGGCGTGCAGTTGGGGTGCTGGCCCAGATGCTGTTAGGGTGTGCTGTTTGGGGAGCTGTTTGTGGTGCTGGTGACGGCGCGGTAGCATTTTCAAGATTGATGGTAGGGTGGTAGCGCGTGCAGTTTTGGGGTGCTGTTTGGTGCAGGCGCATTCTTGCGAGGTAGATGGCCCGATGCTAGGGGGCATGTAGGTGGCGGTGCAGGCGCAGTTTTGCAAGATTGGCCGTAGGGTGCTATGGCGTGCAGCTTGGTTGTGCTGGTGCAGGCGCTGTTTTCGGATTCTGTTTGGGGCTGTTTGAGGTGGTGTTGACGGTGTGGGCGCATCTTTATGAGATTCATTTTGCGAGATTGACGAAGGCGGCATGCAGTTTGGGGCGCTGGTGCAGATGCCGTTTTGCGGTGCTAGCGTTTTTGCTATTTGGGTTCTATGCTGATGCAATCTCCCCCAGACACCTGAAAGCTATGCATTTCTAATTTCTCATAAAAGAGCGGAAAGTGATTTGCGAGATTGACGGCTGGGTGCTAGGGGGCATGCAGTCTGGGGTGCTGGTGCGTGGGCTGTTTTGGGGTGCTGGTGACGGCGCATTTTTGCGAGATTGACGGCAGGATGCTACGGGGTTTGGGGTGCTGGTGCAGGTGCCTGCTCTGGCGTGTCGTAGTTTGAGGTGCTGGTGACCGTGCAAGCTGGGATGCTGTCTGTGTTCTGGTGACGGTGCGAGCGCATTTTTGCGAGATTGGCGGCTGGGTGCTGGGATGCTGTCTGAGGTGTTGGTGACGGTGCGAGCGCATTTTTGCGAGATTGACGGCCAGCGCATTTTTGCGAGATCGGCGGCCGGGTGTTGGGAGGGGGGTGCTGTTTGGGGGGTGCTGTTGGATGCTGGTGATGGCATAGGTGGTTTTGCGATATTGACGGCAGGGCCAGGGAGGCACGCAGTGTGGGTGCAGGTGCAGTCTATCGCTATCTGGGGTCTATGCAGGTGCATTTGTTTGTAAAGCCTCGAGTCAGCAATCAGGCTACACTTCATTGGTGGTTTGGATTGGTGGTTGGGAGGTCCCTGGCTTTTGTGGAGGGTGTGTGGAAACCACTCCTAACCACCAAACCACCAATCCAAGCTACCAATTTGAAGCGACTGGCGGGTTCCATGGCCATGTGACTGGTGGGGTGTCGCCCCCCTTTTTTAGCCTAGTTTACATTTAGCCCACGAAAAGTTAAACTCTTTGCGGGGGATCTGAGGGCAGCCCAGATACGGCGGAAAGAAAGGGCACGCCCCCGACAGAGAACACCTGGAGATCCGCGTTTCTTGATCAAGGCCTCAGGGAGAGACTCCGCGCATGTGTCGTCCCAAGCTTCAGCTTGCCTCCAGTGGTTTGAATTGGTGGTTGGGTGGTTAAGGAAGGGTGTCCCATTGACCCTATAGAAGAAGGGGTTCAAAACCCCAAACCCAATCCACCAATCCAAGCCACCAAAGGGTTACCTGAACTTCCCGGTAGAGACCAACCCATGTAACGTAAAACAGGGGTCCGGCTCTATGTCCCTGGTTGGTGGTTTCAAGCATCACCTTTTTGGCAGCCATGTGCGTGTCCCTTGAGGGTGATGTTTTTAGGTTGGAAAATCCAAAGCCAAACCAATCCAACCCTCCAACCTGACGGGTTACATGACCGGGTTCACCTACTAAAATAGACTACAGAAAAAACTCGGGTACCCTTTTTCCATCCCTCCAGCCTGACGGGTTATAAAAACAAATTCTCATGGTTCCCTTTCAGGGCCCAAACGTAAAACGGCTGGCTTTTGCCCAGGAGTGCAAAAGCCTGGAGCAGCGCCTGCAGCAGGTCTTCTCCCGGCTGGCCACATGTGAGAAGAGCTGCCAACAGGCTCTCGCCCAGGCGCCGCCAAAATATATTCTTCTTTTTTCTTTCGGTCGGCTCAAAAACGTTTTTTGCTTTTTCCTTTCCCGGTCGGCTCACAGGGGCAGTTAACCCATCCGGGGAGCCCCCAAAAATGGGTGTCTTGAAATGGGTGTGTCCACCTGAAAACAGGTGGTTTCCATGGGTGTCCTTAAAATCGGGGAACCCCCGAAAAATGGGTGGTGTCCATTGAGCTTTAAAGTTGGAAACCACCCCGTTTTGAGGGTCTGAACCCAGAACGGAGTGTGCCTGGATGTTCAGTTGGAAAAGCGACGTGAATTCTGTCCCTTGGACTTTGAGAGAGATGGGGCTTCAGGGCTGCTCCAATCCGAGGGGAAATTGGGGAAATGGTATTGGGTCCTTTGCCTCTCTTTTTTTTGCAGGTTCTACTGTCTACCCTTGTGACTGGGCTGGAGCCAGTCAAACCAGACTCACCAGCTTAGACTTGTTAGATGTTCAGAGCTTGGAGGATTTTTCACCTATCCAGCAAAAGTTGTAGCTTTAGAAAGCATGCACAAATTGCCTTGTTGCTTTTGGGGGAGTTCCCAAGAAACGATGCCTCTTAAATGGGACCCGTAATAATTATCCAGGGGGTTCTGGGTTCGCAGTATGCCCCTGTTGCTTGTTTTAGATGCCACCCTTTTGGACCAAGCTTTCAAGCGAGGCCACGGGGGGGGGGGTTTTCTTTTTGTTCTCCACGAGCCAGGCAGAATAATGTTTCGATTTTTTAGGGTTTTTTCTGTTTGTTCTCGAGCCAGGCAAAAGAAGAACTAGCTGTTGCTGGGGTCCCAATTCCAGGCAAGGGGGAATGATGCATGTCAGACCCCTCCTTCGCTCGATTTGGAGAAGGCCATGGCATTTGGAGAGAAATCAAGATATTCGGGCAGAGTGCAAGATTTAACACCCGGATTGACCTTGATGACACACACCCGTTTCATAGGGACTTACTTTTGACCCCATATTAATCAACCCCCGTTTAGTTTTTGGAGGGGGTGTTCCCCTCCAAAAGTGATGAATCCCCACTAAAACCAGATACACACCCCATATTCATAAACAGGCGTAAAACAAAACAAAAAAAAAAACTAAAAAAAAAAAAAAAACAAAAACACACACACACACACACAAGCTGGGGGGTATTTAATATGGGGTCAACCTCACTTTTGACCCTGGCACAGTTGGACCAGCACGTCCTTCAAGTCGACCCACCTGATTCTTTCAAGTCGCGGGGGAGGCCAGACAGCCGGTCGAGAGCCCGCAGGACACGGCGGCCGTTTTCTTTCCTTGGGGAGTCCGCCAAACCCCCCGCACGCATCAGGATACCTCCAACTGGCGGGTCAAAGTACCAATCGGACCGCAGGTTTTAGTCCATGTTTGACCGCAGGTTTTAGTCCATGTTTCCTTTCACCAGGGCAAGCCATTTTGGGTACCTATGTTTGATGCACAGCCAATTGGCTGCTTGGATTGGTGGAATGGGGCTGCTTGGATTGGAACCACCCAACCGCCCTCCAATTGGCTGTCCTGAGTGGCGGAATGGGATCCACCCCCAAACCGCCAAACCACCAATGTAAACCGCCGAATAGGGAGGCTGATCAGGGGAATTACCAGCGCTATTCCTCGAGCATGCGATGGAGCAGCTGTTGGCAGAGCTGTCAAACATCGAACACATGCCCACGCCCACGAATATGTTTTGGAATGCAACTGCTCGAATCTTTTGACATTCTGGCTCCTCATCAATAGCTTCATGGGGGCTGGGGGGGGAGGAAGCGGAGGAAGGGGCAAGCGTTTGTTCAGCCCGAATAAGGCCTTGTTTGGGGCTTTCCCTCTCCCCTCAGCCCCCATGATAGCTGCTGGAGCTCGTCACCGGCCAAGATGTGTTGCTGCGTGTTTTAAACACTCAGGAGGCCAAACGTTCCTTGGGTTTGGCGGCTAAGCTTTCAAGATGTTTTGACATGACCGGGGACTTGCAGTCACCCTCACACAAAAGGACATTATAGCTCAGGCCCCTGCCTATCCAAATAGCCAGTCAACTTGTCTAAAGCGACTGCTATGCTCAAGGGCCGGTTCAGTAAACTAGTAATTTACTATACGATATCGTCTGCCTGTCTGGCTGAAATCTAAGAGCTCTAGCTATCCATCTATCTATCTATCTATCTATCTATCGATCCATCCATCCATCCATCCATCCATCCATCCATCCATCCATCCATCCATTTATCTATCTCTCTGTCTGTCTATCTATCTAATCTATCTATCTATCTATCTATCTATCTATCTATCTATCTATCTATCTATCTATCTATCTATCTATCTATCTATCTATCTATCTATCTATCTATCTATCTATCTATCTATCTATCTATCTATCTATCTATCTATCTATCTATCTATCTCTATCTATCTATCTATCTATCTATCTATCTATCTATCTATCTATCTATCTATCTATCTATCTATCTATCTATCTATCTATCTATCTATCTAATCATCTAATCTATCTATCTATCTATCTATCTATCTGATCTACCAATCTACCTAGTCTACCTATTAATCTAATCTAAGTTAATCTAGTCGAATCCTATCTATTTAATCTAATCTAATCTAATCTAATCTAATCTAGTCCATCTAATCTAATCTATCTATTAATCCAATCTATCTGTCTATCTATCTATCGATCTATCGATCTATGTATCTATCTATCTATCTATCTATCTATCTATCTATCTATCTATCTATCTATCTATCTAATCTATCTATCTATCTATCTATCTATCTATCTGTCTGTCTGTCTGTCTGTCTGTCTATCTATCTATCTATCTATCTATCTATCTATCTAATCTATCTATCTATCTATCTATCTATCTATCTATCTATCTATCTAATCTATCTATCTATCTATCTATCTATCTATCTATCTATCTATCTATCTATCTATCTATCTATCTATATATCTATCTAGCTCTAGCTATCTATCTATCTATCTATCTATCTATCTATCTATCTATCTATCTATCTATCTATCTATCTATCTATCTATCTATCTATCTATCTATCTATCTAATCTAGTCTAATCTAATCTAATCTAATCTAATCTAATCTATCTATCTATCTATCTATCTATCTATCTATCTATCTATCTATCTATCTAACTCTATGTACTCTATCTATCTAATTTATGTATGTTATCTATCTTGTCTGTGGTATCTATCTTGTCCATTTTATCTATCTTATCTACCTTATCTATCGCATATGTATTGTCTATCGTATTTATATAATCTATCTTATCCATCTATCTTTCTGTTTTTGTTGCTATCTATCTATCTATCTATCTATCTATCTATCTATCTATCTATCTATCGATCTATCTATCTATCTATCTATCTATCTATCTACCTACCTATCTGTGTGTTTATCTGTCTGTCTATTCATTTATTTTTATCTATCTAATCTATCTATCTATTTAATCTAATCTAATCAAGTCAAGTCAAGTCAAGTCAATCAATCTATCTATCTAATCTAATCTAATCTAAATCTAATCTAATCTAATCTAATCTATCTATCTATCTATCTATCTACCCATCTATCTATCCATCTATCTATCCATCTATATCTACATCTGCTCTGTTTCTGCATCTCTATCTCTATCTCTATCTATTTCTTCTATTCTATTCCATTCTGTTCTGTTCTAGTCTATTCTATTCTATTCTATCTATCTATCTTTCTCTCTATCTATAGAAGGATTTTACTTTCAGTCTGCAGTGGAATCTCCTCGAGTATTGAGGGAGCCCTTGGGTGTCAAAGATTAGATGTCTCTCACATTGCGGTGAACATATGTTTGAGAATGCACCTGTAGTTCTTGTGGATGAGATGGTCACGAAGGGAAACCACTCGCACTCCCTGACTTCCTGGATATTTTTTCCAGGGGTCTTAACTGCTACTGGGTTGGATCTTTAGGCTTTAACTTTTTGGTTGAAATCAAGTTTTCCACGAAACTGTTTTCCACGAACCCCCCAACAGGTAAACGTTTTGCAGGGGGGTCCTTGCAGCAATCAAGTGTTGGGCTGGAAGTTGCGGCCAGGAGGCGGTGCACCAGCAGCTGGCACGGCAGCAGCGGGAGCTCTCGCAGTCTTTGACGGCCCTCGCTGGGAAGAGCGCCCCTCGACTTCGATTGGAGCCGTGCAGACACGCTGACTTGTTTGTTTTTGGGGCCTTTTTTATTTCTTTCCCCCTCCCCCCCCAATAAATCGCGTCGAACAGACACTGTGCGCTATCGCAAAGGCAGAAGGCCGCTAGGGTTGGAGTTCCAGGTCCCCGGGACTGGCTGGAAGCAAAGAGATTCGCCAATGCCCGGACCGCATCACGCGCACCGGCGCACGGTGAACGCGTGCACATTTTTCAGGCCTGCCATCGGGGTTGGACCCGTTCCACGATTCCAGCAGAGAATGGACTGGGGCGAGCCCAACATGTGAACCCATGTTTGGCTCAGCTCTTTGGCGGGTTGAGTCGTCAGGGTTTTTCAGCTTGGGTCAGACAGCGGACAACACCATTGTTGCAATCTGAGAAGTTGGTTCATGGCGCCACTGATCCAATTCGTGAACCCGGATCTGTTTTACCTGAACCATCCCAACTCGCCCAACCCACCAATCTGTTTTTGTTTACCAGGAGCCAATGTCCCCGCTCGGCATCTCGGTGCGCGCCAAGATTCATCCGCGTTTGATGGGTGTCTTAGACGAGCGTTCCAAGAAAATCCTAGGAAGCACGTTAAGATGAATAAGGGGTTTAGGAAAAAATGTACACAACTCATCTCCGGCCCATGGCCAATTCTTGTATGAAATTTGGCACCCAGTCTTTTTCCCCGCTTGGGGGGAAATTCGAGTAACCCTGAATTGGTTTGTGGCTTGCGGATTTGAAGCCCTGGTTCTCGAGGGCGGACGGTACACCACCTCTAGACCTCCAAGACACGAATCTAAACCGCCAATCATTGCCAGACTCAGCTTTCCTTTACAACTCTTTGCCTTTTCGGCGTTCGATCATTTTCGCGGCGCCCCTTCCGCCCCTTGTTGCTTGGTGGCTTCCCCACTTAAGAGAAGTAGGCCAGCCATTGAAAAGGGTTCCAACTACTGTCCAACCAGGGTGACTGAACAACTTGCTGCGTTCTTTGCGCCTGCCCCCGCAGCGGTTGCCCCTTTTTGCCAGGGTTACTCAACTGCGTGTCTGTGACGTTTGCCTGCTTCATCATGGCTACTGCCTTGAGCACATGGATGTGTATGTGTGTGTGTTTCAACCAGGACCGACCTTTTGAGGTTTTTGTTTTCCCCATTTTGTCCCATGCTTCGTCAAGGTCCCAAAAGCAGAGGCGTCTTGTGGTAAGTTTGACAAAAGCAAAAAAAAAGGATGGCGCTGGTTTAGAAGGTTTTTCCATTTACCATCGCCATCAATTGTTTTCCAACTGGCCGCGCGTGCCCAAAATTCAGGATTGGTGGCGTGGTGATTTGAACCCCTGGTTCTTGTAGACGGTCAATGGGAAAACCCCTCCTCAACCACCAAACCACAAATTAGAGGGAAGCTGAATTTGCACTCACTTGAGTGGACTGGCCCCAAAAACTCATGCACTTTGTGGGAAGACAACCTTTTTGGCCATGTTCCCCACAAACCTTATGGGGGCCCATTATCTGACCTGACCCATGGTCAGGTGAAAGCAAATGCCACAATTCCAGCTGTTGGAAAAGGAACTTTGTACTCTACTTTCACGGAGGAGTAAACTTTTGTGCCCCATGGTAAAGAATCAAAAGGGCGAGTTTTTCTTTCATCTGTGTCTGGGGACTGTCCTTTGCTTCGCTCCCGCATGGCGCTACTGGTGTTTTTTGGGCGAGCCAAGTGCCCGAGGTGTCTCCCGAGCGCGTGGCAGCGCTGGAGGCACAGCTCAGGATCCTCGAGTGGAAGCTCGACGCGAAAACCGTGCGGAAGGGCAAGGAGTGCGGAAAAGGGGCGATGGAAATGATGTTGGTTGGTTGGTTGGTTGGTTGGATGGATGGATGGATGGATGGTTGGATGGTTGGTTGGTTGGTTGGTTGGTTGGTTTGATGGATGGATGGATGGTTGGATGGTTGGATGGTTGGTTGGTTGGTTGGTTGGATGGATGGTTGGTTGGTTGGTTGAATGGATGGATGGATGGTTGGATGGTTGGATGGTTGGTTGGTTGGTTGGTTGGATGGATGGATGGTTGGTGGTTGGATGGTTGGATGGTGGGATGGTTGGATGGTTGGTTGGTTGGTTGGTTGGTGGCTTGGTTGGTTGGATGGTTGCATGGTTGGTTGGTTGGTTGGTTGGTTGGTTGGTTGGTTGGTTGGTTGGTTGGTTGGTTGGATGGTTGGATGGTTGCATGGTTGGTTGGTTTTTTTGGTTGGTTTGTTGGTTGGTTGGATGGTTGGTTGGATGGTTGGTTGGTTGGATGGATGGTTGGTTGGTTGGATGGATGGATGGATGGATGGTTGGATGGTTGCATGTTTGGTTGGTTGGTGGTTGGTTGGTTGGTTGGTTGGTTGGTTGGTTGGATGGTTGGTTGGTTGGATGGTTGGTTGGATGGATGGTTGGATGGTTGGTGGTTGGTTGGTTGGTTGGATGGATGGTTGGTTGGATGGATGGATGGATGGATGGATGGATGGTTGGGTGGTTGGTTGGTTGGTTGGTTGACCAATGGCTCGGATGGATGGGATGGACGGATGAATTTGTTTTGGTTCGATATCATTTTGAATTTGAATTGGTGTTAAATTATCTTGACTTGACCTGATCGACCTGATTGACCTGATTGGTTTGATTGAGTTCCTTGGGTTCCTTGTGTTGTGTTGTGTTGTGTTTGTTTGTTGTTTGTCGTGCTTTGTTCTATTGTGCGCACTTCTTTTGTTTGGGGAGGGGTGCCAGGGCGAACAACCAGCATTGGCACTTTGGAGTGTCTCTGGAAGATACCCTGTGGATTCCAGGGTTATAGCTTGCATGCCCCCCTTCCGCACCCTTGTAACTTGCAGCTTGCAGGCAAGCCGGGAAGCTGGGCTGGACAATCCTCATCCCCTTCCCAGCTTGTGGAAATCACTTTTAGCGGCAAACAAACTCAGGAAGTCACCCTTTTCTCCTCCAAACGGTTCAGCTGGGCGCAGGACCTCTGGCCGCGAACAGGAGGCTGGTGGAATGCGCATAAGTGCATGGAGCTCCTTCGGAAAAGGGGTTTCTTGGTACACTTCGCTTTCTTGCCAAACGTCTAAGTTCAACGCCCGTGTTTTGTCAATCGACTGCTTTAGTGGGCCTCTCAGTTGTTCTTTTTGGTTTCCTTTGTTTAACTTACTGGTGCTCAGCAGATGCGAGAAGGATCCTTAATGCGGGGATCCCTAGGTTCGTTCCCACATAGTCTGGGTCAACACCCCGGGCCGGCAGGTGAGAAGCCGGCGAGGACGGGGTTGTTGGGCGCTCCTGGGCGCTGGGGGGTTTTGATCAGAGGTTGAGCTGAGTGTTGAGCTTGAATATCTTGAAAATGCTATTGGATTGGATCTTTAAGCTTCAATGCTTCAATCTTTTTGGGTGCCCAATTCTTGAGCTGCCTCTGTTGCCAGGCTTAGGCGAGGCACCGAGGCACCGAGCCAAGCTCAGGAGGGAGCCGGCGACTTATATCACAGGCGCGCAATCGGAGGGGAGCCCGTTCTTGTTTTTTCCCTCCTTTGTTTCTCGGTTTGCTGGGCTCATCCACGAAGAGAGATGGTCCTAAAAGAAGGCTTGGAGGTCGAACCCATGGGTCCCATAGGTGCCCCTAACTTGTATCACCTATTTGTCAGGGAAACTTATGCCGCTAGGCAGTTGAGCTCTTGGCGCACTTCGAACTCAAAAGTTCTACCAGGGGCAGCGCTTCTCTAAACATTGCTGCCTCATTCTGTTCAACGATCGTTGTGTTTGGAAACTATCAGTATTTAAGGTTGTTGTCTTTCTTGGTGAGTGTCAAACATAAAGGGAACCCTGAAAAAGAAGTCGTCTGCGGGAAAGTGATCCCTTGAAGCAATGCAGGAAGTACGGCTTAGCCGGCCATCCGCGTGGGTTTGATGCAGCTTTCTTGTAAATACGCCTTGGTCATGGGGCTCTGTGTCTTTGGCGAATCCCAGGGCTAGTTTCCCTGGTCCCTTTAAACCACCCCAAGCAAGAAATGCCCTCAAGAGAGAAGACACACCCATATTCGTTGAACAAGGTTCGGCCAGCTTGTTTTCAAAGTAACCTTCTGTTCCTGCCCTTGAGGCCTCCCCCAACACGTCATTTAACATAGGGTAGACTAGATATGAAGTCGAATCTGAACATGCTATTTTCTAAAACGTTCTTCCTGGTGGCCAAGGGGTGGGGGGTTGGGGGCAGGCCGGCGCCTGCCAACCTACGACCTGCCCGAGGGCCTCCACGTCTTCGCCTTTCGGCTGCAGAAAAAACATGGCCACGTGAAACGTCAAACAGATTCGTCACCAGACAGGGGGTCAACAATCCAACCAGGGGGTCCTCAAACAAGCCGAATCTGTAATATCTTCCCCCCAAAAAAAATAAAACGCGTAGTAAAGGAAACGTGCTCCCGGAGCTCAGGCTCGAAAGTCGCAACTTTGTAGTACAGCCGTAGTAAAGGAAACGTGCTGCCGGAGCTCCGGCTCGAAAGTCGCAACTTTGTAGTACAGCCGTAGCAAAGGAAACGTGCTTCCGGGCTCTGGTTGAAAGTCGCAACTTTGTAGTCCAGCCGGAGTAAAGGAAACGTGCTCCCGGAGCTCCGGCTCGAAAGTCGCAACTTTGTAGTACAGCCGGAGTCAAGGAAACGTGCTCCCGGAGCTCCGGCTCGACAGTCGCTCCAGCAGTAGTAAAGGAAACGTGCTGCCGGACTCCGGCTCAAAAGTCGCAACTTTGTAGTCCAGCCGGAGTAAAGGAAACGTGCTCCCGGAGCTCCGGCTCGAAAGTCGCAACTTTGTAGTACAGCCGTAGTAAAGGAAACGTGCTGCCGGAGCTCAGGCTCGAAAGTCGCAACTTTGTAGTACAGCCGTAGCAAAGGAAACGTGCTTCCGGAGCTCTGGCTCGAAAGTCGCAACTTTGTAGTCCAGCCGGAGTAAAGGAAACGTGCTCCCGGAGCTCCGGCTCGAAAGTCGCAACTTTGTAGTACAGCCGTAGTAAAGGAAACGTGCTGCCGGAGCTCAGGCTCGAAAGTCGCAACTTTGTAGTACAGCCGTAGCAAAGGAAACGTGCTTCCGGAGCTCTGGCTCGAAAGTCCAACTTTGTAGTCCAGCCGGAGTAAAGGAAACGTGCTCCCGGAGCTCCGGCTCGAAAGTCGCAACTTTGTAGTACAGCCGTAGTAAAGGAAACGTGCTCCCGGAGCTCCGGCTCGACAGTCGCTCCAGCAGTAGTAAAGGAAACGTGCTGCCGGAGCTCTGGCTCGAAAGTCGCAACTTTGTAGCACAGCCGTAGTAAAGGAAACGTGCTTCCGGAGCTCTGGCTTGAAAGTCGCAACTTTGCAGTCCAGCCGGAGTAAAGGAAACGTGCTCCCGGAGCTCCAGCTCAAAAGTCGCAACTTTGTGGCACAGCTACGTAGAGAAGGAAACGTGCTCCCGGAGCTCCGGCTCGAAAGTCGCAACTTTGTAGTCCAGCCGTAGTACGGGAAACGTGCCCCCGGGTCCTTATACTGGGGCTGGGTTTGAGTACGGGCGGGAAAATACATACTTTCGAACTGGTTAAGCATTGTCTATTCTAAAAGTAGTATTCCCGGAGTTGGGACTTTGGAAGCAATTGGTTGTTATTAGGGAGAGCTTCATTGATAAGAGGAGATTATCTCTCACTCTGCGACCACGCCCCTTTTGCTCAGCTTGCGCCGCGCGTGTTTGTCTCCTGAGGACCTCGCCTGGGGTTCCGCCGAGCGCGCACCACAGCTGCAGTTGGGAGCCATTTGCGCGTCGTGCTCAAGAGCTAACGTTAGGGGAGGACGGTCATGAATCCGCCCGTTTTGTGCCATGTGTCTGTTACTTGTGGGAGGGCCCCCCAAACTCCAGTCACGGCTAGGGAGGCGGGAGGCCTTGTGCTGTTCACCTGGTTGGCGAGTTTGCCTTGGCAACTATAGTAAGGGTGATGTTTCATCGGGGAATGTAGGGAACCCTTTTGCATTGCCAAATATTGAGACTTGACGACATGAATATCAATTGCGCCCAAATGGAAAATCATAATCGGGGCCCAGGCCAGTAATCAGATTAACCCGACCTTAAGCAATGCTTGAAAAATACATATTTCACCAATCCATGAGGGCAAGTTCGCCCAGCATCCGGCACCTCATGTTTAGCCCTTCAAGCTTCCAATGCCTTGGTTGACAAGCTGTTACGGGCATGGGGCATTTGGTTGCCTCGGTGTCAGCTTCCAGGCGGAGCCCGTTGTTGTGGACAACACGTGTTGTGAAAAACAATTTTGAGTGAGGAGCCCAATCAGTCTCAATTTGATGTGACTTGGATGCATGCATCGGTCGAGACGATTTGATGCGATCGGTCGGCCAATTTGGCGAAGAGACTTGTTCTTTGCCTTGGCATTTCTGGCCCCCTCTCCTCCGGCAACGTGACGCTCGTGTTCAATGCTGTGTTGGAGGAGTTTGCCCTAATGGAGCCTTGCCGCACCACTTTGCCAGCTTTCCCGACCAGGTCTGCCTTCCGACGGGGGCCGTCTACACTTGGGCCGCGCACCGCAAGTGCGCCGCCTGTTCCGGCGGACAGGCGTGCACTCGGATCCAGCGGGCGCTGGGCACGCCGGGACAACACCTGGCTGGCGCGACCGGGTGGACGACTGCTAGGGGCAGCATTTGGTCCTCGTCTCCTGGCTTCGCTACGTGCGCCTCACCAGTCGCACGAGCGCAAAGCACATCTATCACCCGGACCGCAACATCCTGCACCGCCCCATCACCAGGCACAGGTGTGGCGAGGCGGAGCCGCCGGAGGAGTGCATCTCTTGGCACCGCTGGCAGACTCAACTCGGTTGGCGATGCGCGTGTGTCGGGAAAAAAGAAGAAGTCGGAACCCGGCCCACCAGTGACCTTTCTCCACAAAAAGGATCATCATTTACACCGACGCGCGCAAACGAGGTAGAGTCAGTTGCGCCGAACTCCAAGCCGCTGCTTCGTTTTCAGTTGCTTCATTTTCATTTGTCCTTGCATTTACTTCTCGAAGGCCTGGACGGCTATTCAGCCACTCCTGACCAGTACCTTCAGTTATGCGATGTCGAGGCAACATGCCATTCGCCGTGGAGTTGGCAAGCACCAACCTCTGAATTGTTGGATTGGAGCATGTTGGACTTGGCTGAACCGACTTCCGACCCCATGCAAATTTGGATCGGGCGCCCTGGCACGCCAACATTGCTGACTCTGCATGGCACTAAGAACGGCCGGCAGCTCATCTCCCCACCGGCCAAGGACCTGCGCACCGGACCCTGAAAATCATTCAGGATATTGAGTTCGCGCGTCCGACCGGTTTTGAGGGTGTGCCCCCGTTTCCAGACATCGGCGTGATTCCACATCTTCGTCAGACGTCTTTTCGGGCTCCTCAGGGTGGACCTTCGACCAAGAGATGAATCTTGGGTTGACTCGAACGCTCCCTTCTTGGTTCGTGACCATACGGACCCGCAAGCTTGAAGTCTGGTGAGGGATTTTGTTGCCTCCTGTGGGCCGAGGGGTGAAGAAGGACTATATAATATACGCTGCCCGGTGGGATGTGTGAGTGACCGAACGGACTGATTGTTTGGGGCGTTGGCATGGTTGTATTTTGTTGTTTGACACTCTTCCACGAGCATAGAAACGCAGGGCAAAAGGGGTCTTTGCACTTGCTTGTTTGTGTGTCTGAGGGGAGCTTTTCTTGACCGAGCGAACTCTTGCTTACCAAGGCCAAAGCGGACTCGTCGCCCGAGAGGACTGGACGGCTTAACTTCGGTTGCCGGGCGAACGGACGGCGAACGGGACGCCCCCCAGATTCGTCAACCGGGGGTTTTCTAGTCCTGGGTTCTCATTACGTGAGTACGTGAGTCAAGTTTGGCACTTTTTTAGACAGAAGTTGTCGCACGTTTTTGGAGGACGCCTGGCAGACTTTAATCCCCTTCAGTGGGCAGAAGCCAGCATGCAACTAACCATGTCCAGAAGTGGAAGTTGAAGTGCAGTCAGAACAGTTGGTTATTAGGGTGCCATCTCTTCGTAAGTGGTCTGGCCAATTTTACCGCCAGATGCGGGGAGGACAACCCCCCCACCTAACCGCAGCGAAGGTTTGCAGAACCCTTCTAAGTTCTTGGGAGAGGGTGGGGGGTTTGCCCGAAATCCTCCCCCTTTTTACGGGGTCACGAGCGCAACTTGCCAAAAAGCAGAGAAGTTCCCCACCCCAACTCTTGGTATTGGGGATTCCTTGCTTCAGGTGTGTAAGATTTATTTTTGTTCTTTCTCTTACTAACGTAGTGCTCGAGTTTATTTCTTCAAGTCGAGAAAGCTGCTCTCCCGCAGGTGCTCCGGTAGTGGGAGGAAGTGTCCAAACACATCCAAGACACGACCCGACCAAAGCAAGAACGATGTCCTCCCCAGAGCCCCACCCAAACCCGAACCCGAACCCCCCAAAAAAAAGGGGTGCCCCCCGAACCCGCACCCGAACCCGACCGTTCCATTGTGGACGAAGCCGATCGAAAGTGGCGCCCGGTCCCGTGAAAGGAGACTGGCGAGCACAGCTGCTGGCTCTCCGGCTGGCGAGAGCCCTTGGTCCTGAGTGAGACGTGAGCTGTCGCCCGACCTTGCGCTTAGACTGAGAAGTGCCGGCTTTTGCTGTCTTCTGGTTTGCTTGCCCAATGGCAGTGAGCCTGCCGGCCCAGCTCTGAGTTCTTCTCGCGGCGTGCTGGTTTCACAAAGCGAGGCTTTGGAATGGGGTTTGGGCGAACGTGGAAGTATCGTTTGCAGCGCTGCTCAACTTGAATGCGTGCACATATAGGTGTCCTTGTTGGTTGTTTTGGTGGAAAAATAGATGGCCCTGGCTTGCCTGCTGGTTTAATCATCCACCAGGGCCATCTATTTCCCCTATAAGGACACCTATGTGCGTGCAATAGAAAGTTTGGTGCAAGGAACCTTCCTTGGCCCCCGCCAGGAAGGCTCTCAGAACCTTTCCAAGAGGACCCAAGGTTTGTCCGCAAGGACGGGCAAGCCTTGTCAGTCCAGCGCCCGTTTGGCGTTGAAACCGGTCTTCTCGTAGTAACCCCCAGTCAACCCACATTTCGGTTTGCGACGAAGCCCAATCGCGGGCATAGGGCTTGCTGCTTGCTTTTCTTAGAGCCCGGACGGGAGTGCCGTAGATGCGGAAAACCTGGCAGCGCTCGCCAAAGAGACTTGGCAAAGCCAGGTTGCAAGCTGCTGCCACTCGGCGGAAAGCGGCGAGAGTCCAAACTGGCAGATTCTTAACAGATTGATTGGATTCCCCCGGCTTGGATGGTTTAAACCTCACCTTGGCCAACGCTGTCATGAGGTTTTCTTGCAGGGTGGTGACAGGGATACAAGGAAACCTGCAACCGTTCTTGCTTGTTGCTACCGCGCACTCAAACAGGCGCACACGCTTGAAAACATACAGACTCACGGGTTCTTGGAACCCTTGTCAGGACATGATATTCGCCTTTGACTGCGCACTTTCAAGTACCCAACGGCCCAACTTGCAAGGAGGTACTTTGACCCCCAACTCCGCACAAACTGTACTTAGGACCTCCGGGAAAAAGGGTTACAGGGTAGCTCGAGAGCCTTGTGAGGATTGGCCCACCCCCTCGACCAAGCTCCTTGCGGTTTCGCGAGGGGCTGGTTTTAGCGCAGTTTGTGTACTGGGTGCAAAGTGACCCCAAAGTGACAACCACAAAAGGGTGGGTTGCAGGGAAGCCCCAGCAGCAATTTGAGAACCCTCAAATTCCACCCCTGCTCAGAGAGTCAGAAGGGCACCTATGTTTGGTCATCTCAGAAACGACAACTATACACCCATATTTTTTAGACTCGGAAAATGTGTCGCCTCAAGAGCCCCAGAAGCAAAGAGCCCTACTAAACCTGCGCAGAGTTGTTTCACCGAAAGCCAAACTGAAAGATCATTCTCCGCAACTTGTTTTTTCAGGTTCCCGGATTTTTCTTTTTGCGCCAGGCGAAGACTGCCACAGGCCGCCCGCCAAGGGCCTCAAGCGCTCGGAGAACGACGTGAAGAGCCGCTTGGCCAAGTTGCAAGCGAGCGGCTGCTGCTGCTGCTGCTGCTGTTGTTCGCTGCTGTCGCTGCGGGGTCGCCAACGATGTCGATGTCGGCGTCGTTGTGTCTGTGGTGTTTGGTTGTTTGCCTTTGGTTGTTGCCGTTTGTTGCCGTTTGTTCTTGGTTGTTGCTGCTGCTGTCCGTGTTTGTTTGCTGTGGCTGTCGATGTTTGCTGTTGCTGTTGCCGCTGATTCGATTCCCTTTTTTGGTTGTTGTTGCTGCTGCCTCTGGCGCTGCTGCCGACGCAGCTGCTGTTGATGTCGGAGTGCTGCGGCTGTCGCAAGGACTTGCGGTTGAACTCATCACCACGGGTTTCACGACGGACGTGCCGCTCGACCTCTCAGGCATTTGGGCTGCCTGCGGGCCGGTGGCGAGCTCAGACGTTATGCTGCAGCTCCTGCGGGCTATGCTGCGAATTCTCGAAACATACGCAAAAAAGGGGAGCCCCTACGGGGAAAAAGCCAGCTTAAGCCAGTTTTGAGAAAGGGATTATATATGGAGTTGGGCGGAGCTGAATCGCCAATGGAGCCGAATCCCCGGTTAAGGTTTCACAAGAAACCAACATGAAGAGACTCTTCTTTGGGAGGGCCCCCCCCTTTTTTGGAAGCCTGGCTAATGAATTTGCAGGGGAGTACTGTACCTTGTTGGGTTGCCAGAATTCAGTCTTTTTGTTGGTAGGTGTCTTGCTCTTGTTCTAGTTGGGCTACAAGTTCTGAACTTTTCTATCCAGTCTCGGCAGGTCTCTTATCGTTCCCTTTCCGGAGGGATCAAACATTGCAGGTTTTCTCGGATTTTCCAACTTGAAAGGTGCAACGGTTGGATGGGGAATATGAGTCTGAAATGCAACCCAGCCCGTGGCAGCGGCCCGAAGGCCTGACATGAGTGGCCAACACTTGAACCGATAGGTGTCCTTGCTGGTTGTTTTGGTAGAAAAATGGATGGCCCTGGCTTGCCTGCTGGTTTAATCATCTACCAGGGCCATCTATTTCCCCCTAAAAGGACACCTATGTTTGAACCTTTTTGCTGCTAGGATAATTCTCGTTCATAGCCTTCGGCCCAAAATCTTTCGGCGTTTTGGGGTTTTGGCAGTCAGTTCAGGTATGCAGGCTAGTTAGGCCAAGGACCGACATGAGTCGATTCGGAGTCTGATCCACTCTCAGAATCCAGTGATGTGACCGCACACCCTCCATGAATCAACGGGGGCTTCCCACCCATGATCCTCCGGACCTCGCCAGCTGGCTCTCCCTAGTTGGCTCTTCTCCAAAAATAGCGGCTCACTCCCTGAGTTCCCGGACTTACATTTTTGGATTTGGACCATCTTAGTACCGAACAAGGGTTGACTTTTGGCCAGTCAACTCCGGAAGTGGGAAGGGTCAGTGGTCCTCGCGCCTCAGGACCGCACGCTGCTGCTCCAGGCTGGGGGGGGGGTTTGGGGTGGTGCGAGGGATGCAGGGAATGAGTTGGAACCACACAGAAGCCATCCCCGATTTGGTTTCTTTGGTGCCAGGCATTTCGCAAACAGGGCCAGTTCCAAGCAGGGCATGGTGACATTTGGCACTAATTTGGTTTCCTGCAAGGGCATTCCCTGCCCATCGCACCAGCAAGGTAAGCCTGGCGCAGTTTGTTTTTTCTATCCCCGGGCGGGTCAAGCGAAACGGATGAGGCCAGACACCAAAAAAGCAATAATCCCCACCGGGCCATGGGTTGGTGGGAGCCAGGGTTTCGACTGACAGGTTCCGTGTTCTGGGGCCCCTTCCCGTGAAGTTTCCCCCCCTTTCCCCCCGCTAAGACATGGCCCTGGTGCATTTTCCGGGGTCACTGGGCAGCGAAGAACATGGGGAAATTGCAGATGCACGAAGCGAACTTCTGTCACAGGGGAGTCCACCAGGCGCATCCGCGCTTGGTCCCAAGTATTGGCAAGGATGTGCCCTGGCAGACTCTAGCATATGAGGGGCTCAGACGGGAATCCCTTGGATCACGCGTCCCCAGGCCAAATGTAGACGATACAATCCATATATAGAGAAGAAGGGGCCATGTGCACGCATCTGTGTGCATATGTATATATGAAGATTGGTTGCAATACGCACTCTAGTCTTTCATTTGAGGATGTACAGCGCCTGGAATACTGGAGAGATGGCATATGACGTTCCGGAGGTATGGAGATTTGTTTGCACGTCGTACTTTTCTCCATTTGATCTGCAGCTCCTGGCACACTGGGACGCAGTTCATCCAGCTCACTGAAGGGTCGTGCCGGGTCCAAGGAATCGGGCGATCGAAGGTATCTTTGGGTCAGTTTTCGAGAAAAAAACATGTTTGGGGATGGGTTCTTCCCTTGTGCCCGGATCTTTGGAATGGTTGGGAATGGCTGGAGGTGAACTCGTGAGTTTTGCCATGCCCGCTTGTGGGCAAACCAACCCACAACCAGCGATTCGGAAGACGTCCCCAAGTTAGAGACATGTCCAAAAGCCCGCATGGAGAAGAATGTATATGGATGTATATGGACAGTTGGGAACCTGTTTTTTGTGTTGTTTTTTGGCGGGGCCTGGTTGTTTTTTTGGTTCATTCGTCTGGGCAATCTGGGGCTCTCCTGCACTTTGGAATCACGGACTATGCTCTACAACCATGCCAAGTGGATGTGTGTGTGCGATTTTGAGGACCCTCTTTGTTCCCATTTGAGCCACAATCAAAACCCGGGTAGATGAAGGTTAGCAAGGGGCAGTCCCAGCCATATATAGTTACGGTCGCCTTCTTAATTCTTTACATGGTTCTGGGTAGACCATTTTAATGCCGGGTTTTGATTGTGACTCATTTGAATTTTGGTTCACCATGGCCCAGGCGGGAACTGTGCAGCTCCCAATCCCAGTGACCAAGTGGTTGGCACGGGGCTCGGGCGGGAAGTCTCCTCAAAGGAGTCCGTCCACTAAAGTCTCGTTTTGCTTCTTGTTGCTTGTCTTATTTTCTTTTTCTTTGTCTCTTTTTTGGGGGGGGGCTTGCTTTCCAGCACCAGCCGGGAGGGATGACGAATCCCATGTTGAGCCTTGTGGGGCCAAATTAAGCCAAAGGGGTCCGAGATAAGCCACAAGTTTGACTCTGTGATGCCTTCGGTCCAATAAGTGAAGTCGAAGCGGCCGACCCCAAGGCTGGATTCATGCGGGGCCGTGGCATCTTCTTGTTTGGCCCCTGCTGTCCATAAGGGAAGCGGCTTTCGGGTTTTAAGATCAGACTTTGTCGGGTAGCCCTTAGTGGTTTGCTTGTTGGCTTGGATTTGGATTTGAATCCCTGGCTCTAGAGAACAAATCCAAAAGCCAAGCCAGGACACCTTCACCACCACCAATGAGGTGCATTTCGCTTTGCAAACCCAGGAGCTGCAGGTACTGCCAAAGAAACGCGCGAAAAAATCCGATGCTCCACGAAACAAAGTGCCCTCCTTTCAAGAGTGGGCTTGGTGGTTGCAAAACAAACTTGGCAGGGCTGCAAGACTGCAGCTCTTGCAAGTCTGCCAAGGCTTCAACCCTGCAAGACTTCCCAACCCACCGCCCAAGCAAGTTTCTCGGGGAGGCACGGCGCAGGGCCTCCACGGTCGGGCCGAATCGAGGCCACGTCCATCGGCGGGCTCGTGGGGCGGCACTTGATCAGTAGCATGGCCGGAGCCTCTCAGGGCGCAGGGCGATGTTCCAACCACTTCCTTTTTGGCCGTTTTTAAACGGGAAGCCAAGAGGAAAAGGGTGGTCCCCAAAAAAAAGAAAGAGAGACTCAAGTCAAGTGCATTGGTAGAACCCACAGCCTGGCTCCGGTACCTTCCCGTAGTCTCCCGTCTCCCTGCAGTTTTTCAACAGAAGCCGAACAAATTCGATGTGATCAAGAAGCAACATCAGAGAAGCAGGTAAGCCAAGCGCAGAGCACCAGACCGGCATGGCAGCCAATCGTAGTGGCGCCCAGTCGCCACTGCAGAAGACATAGTACATCAGAGTACATCACCAAGGTTTTGA